ATTGTTCTGGGGCCGGCGGCGCGGTCTCCGCGGCTTTGTCCGCCGGGGGGCCCTGCAAGCGTCTTTCCTTCCCGGCTTTCCGGTGGCAGCCCGCGCTTATCTAGTCCCAGCAGCCTGGCGGGCAGGAGGCGGTCCTTCCTCCGCCCACCACACCCCGGCTCGCGCGTCCTTGGCTCAGGCCCCCTGTCCGGGGAAACGTTCCCTGCAAGTCTTCTCCTCCCAGTGTTTGCAGAGGGTCCTGTTCCCCCTGCCCATCTCCATCTGTCACGGCCCCCTCTCTCTGGGATCCCCGCCCTGTGTGCCACTCTCTACGACTCACCTCCCTCCACCCCTCCCTGCTCTTTGGGGGTTCTCCAATCGCTCTTGATTGACTATTGTCCTGGCTCCCACCCCCCTCGCCACCGGGTTCCTGACACCCACACGGGCCACACCGCCTCCCTCGCCTGCAGATCCCGCTCTGACAGCCCTCAGGGACCTCGGTGCCAGCAGTGGGCGTGACAACCCTCAGTTTCCAGAAGTTGGGATTCAGGAATCCCTGGGGTTCAAAGAAAAAAAAAAAAAGTATTTTAATTTGCCAAAAGATAATTTATTTTAAAGAAACATTAACGTTTTATTTCATAATGGAATATTTTAACAGCAACAATAAAAGTGGGGTGGGCGAGACCCAAGATAAGACACTGTCGTTCCAGGTGAACGGGATGAAGTCTAGGACACCCGGCTGCGTCGCCTGTATTTGGCTGCACCCCGGCGAAGACGCTGTCAGCCCCATGGATCCCACCCGGGTTCTGCCATGGTGCCCACCAAGAAAGAGTGGCCTTTGCCCAGGGTACAGAGGGCAAAATTGGAACAGGGTCTGAACGCCCTCAGGGACCCCTCAGTGCCTCCCAGGACCCTATCCAGTCCCCAGAACTCTGCTCAGGCCCCGCGCCCCACCCCCACCCCCACCCCCCAGCCTCAAGTAATTTAGGAAATAACCTCTGGAGGTCAGATTCTAGATTCCCCAAGTTCCAGATCTTCCGGGGTGTGTGTGTGTGTCTCCCTGTGGCTGTGTGTGTATCTGTGCGTGTGTTTGTATCTCTGTGTGTCTAGCTCCCTGTGGCTGTGTATCTCTCTGTTTTTCAGCAAATAGCAACCTCTCTGCTTCGGTCCTCATTTACAAAATGGAAACTGGCAAACAGCCCCTGGTGAAGAGCAACCCAGCACAGGGTCCAGTCTGGTATGTGTGAGCCACTCCCAGGACCACCCAGGACTAGCCAGGAGAGGCAGTGGATGGGTGTCCAGGGACCCGGAGCCTGGCGGTGGGGACTCCACCTGCATAGCCTGTGAGCCCCAGCTGGACAGACTGGAGGCTCTGGGACCCTGGGAGCTGCTTGGGAGCTCAGGGCCAGGGTAGGGGTTGTGAACAGTCAGCAGGAGAGTCCTCACCCTGCCCCTGGGGGCCCTACCTGGCACCCTGCTGCCCCTGGCAGAGGACACATCTGGCAGAGCAGAGGTAAAGTGGCATTTGTTAGTCGCTGGTACCGGCCACAGGAGCCCAGGCAGAGGAGAGGAGCAAGGTGGCTGTGATGTGGGGCCCTTGGGAGTCAGCAGGTGAGGCTCAGGGCCCTGAGTAGGCAAGTGAGAGGAGTTAGGGAGATGGGGGTGGTGACAGGGGACATTTTTAAAAGGCCCAGCTTCCTGTTAATGTGTGTGGGAAAGCAGTGCCCGGTTTCTGGCTTTAGCCTGGCCCAGCCCTGATGCATGGCCTTTGTGGAGTGAGCTAGTGCATGGGACATCTCTGTGTCTGGTCACTTTGCCTTTCAGATCAACAAAATAAATCTTAAAACATAAAATAGTGCTGTTGCTTATGATGCAGGCATCCCATCGGAGCACTGGTTCAAGTCTTGGTTCCTTCACTTCTGGTCCAGTGGAAGATGACCCACACTCACGGGAGACCCGGGCGGAGAGTTCCAGGCGCCTTGCTTCGGCCTGGCCCACCCCAGGCCACTGCAGTCACTGGAGGAGTGAACTGACAGATGGAAGATCTCTATTTCTTGCTCTCTCTGTAACTCTGCCTTTCAATTAAATAAACACTTTTTTTTTTAAAGAAAAAAAAAAAAGGCAAAGAGACAGATATTGTAACACTCCACTCACAGGCTCCCAGAGCAATCAAGTCATAGAGAACATGGAATGGGGCTTGTTCAAGGGGCATGGTCCATCTTGCCAGGTGACAAGAGTTTTGAAGATCAGTCGGGTGATGCTGTGAATATACTTAAACACTGCTGAACTGTCCCCTTAAAGGTGGTTAAGGTGAGGTATGTTTCACAACTTAAAATAAGGAAAAAAGGAGCTCTCTCCTTTTCAGACGTTACAGCACAGAGAAAGGTCTGGAAGGATATACTTTAAAAAAAAAAAAAAGATTTATTTATTTTTTATTGCAAAATCAGATATACACAGAGGAGGAGAGACAGAGAGGAGGATCTTCTGTCCGATGATTCACTCTCCAAGTGGCTGCAACGGCCAGTGCTGCACCGATCCGAAGCTAGGAGCCAGGAATTTCCTCCAGGTCTCCCTCGCGGGTGCAGGGTCCCAAATCTTTGAGCCGTCATCAACTGCCTTCCCAGGCCACAAGCAGGGAGCTGGATGGGAAGTGGGGCTGCCGGGATTAGAACCAGCGCCCCCATGAGATCCTGGTATGTTCAAGGCGAGGACTTCAGCTGCTAGGCCACGCCACTGGGCCCAGGATATGCTTCCAAAGTTAAAGGAGGACTTGTAATTAGTTTAACTTGTTACAATAACTACACACACACGAAAGAGGGAAAGAACAACCGAAAGAAGAGGTCCTTCAGCCTGAAGTGTTCATGGGGACTCAGAGCCACTGGCTGGGTGGAGGCGGCTGATCGTGTGGCCAGCAGGAGGACTCCCACAGCCAGCTGTCCTATGAAGACAGGGTGCATTGCCAGCACCTGCAGGGGGGTCATCTTCTGCTTGGCCCTGCCACCTCCACAGCTCCGACGCATGTGGCCAGAGACTCCCTTTGATATATGTCAACTGCAATGGAGCCATCGGCTGAAAGCCATTTGCTGGGCTCTCTGACTGCCCTGGGCCTGAGGTTTCCTTTATTCATTTATCATGATGTACAGCTTTGGCCAACATACACACGGGAGAGAAATTGTTGACATGTGGAACCCCAGCACAGAAAATCTTTCATTTTCCCTCCCGTCTGTTCACCAAATAAGTTTTTGTTTATTTAAAGACTACAGAGGATTTGGCTGTTAAGAACCAAATGCCTTTGGAGTGGAGTTACAGCATAATTCATCATTTCCTCTGTTTATTAAAAAAAAATCCTGCATCTTGGAGAGGCCCATTTTCAGGGAGTGGGAGCTTTTGGTCACTCATGGAAGATTTTGCAAAGCCCCTTCCCCTCCCCCCCCACGCCCGCCATGTGGCTTACCCCCCAGGGAGGGATCCTGACTGGCAATTTCCCTGCCCCTTGACCCCCAACCAGGGCTGCTTACAACATGTGGCTGCTGCTGAGCGGGCTGTGTGGACCGGTCAGATGCTGAGTGTTTCTGACCTTGAATCCTCCCTCAGTGGCTGTTCCATCCCGGATCCCCCAGCAGCAGCAGAGGGAGGGGCACACCCCTATGGCTTCTAGCACAGGGCTGAAGCTGGGACCGGTGGACGTGTCAGTCAGCTCCACGGGCGCGCAGCCCAAAGGAAACCACTCTGCAGGCAGACACCTGGTGTCACAGCAATGAAACCTGCGCCTTTTCCAGCAACTTAGCTGCTTGCACGCAGCCCTTCTCAAAGGCAGAGGTCAGGTATGGCCATTTCCGGTATAGGCCCTGACACCCTGGGTATTCCCTAAGTGCTGATGAATGCAGCAATGGGGGTGTACTGGGAGTCAGAGGCAGTGTTGGGGTTCTGCCTAATGCTCCCCCGACCTTGCCCAGTGGCCTTCAGTCTGCCTGTTCATCTGAATCATCTTAGATTGATTATTCATCTGAAAGGTAGAGACACAGAGATTCTTTGATCCGCCAATTCACTCCCCTAGTGGCTGTGATGGCCACGGCTGAGCCAGACAGAAGCCATGAGCTTCCTCCAGGTCTCCCACACTGGTGCGAGACCCACAGGCTTGAGCCATCTCCTGCTGCTGCTCTCTGGCCATCAACAGGGAGCAACCAGGACATGAATGGGCACCCATCTGGGATGCCATGGCTCTACTTGCTATGTCACAATGCTGGTGCCTAGAATATTCTTTGTAAGAAGTCAGTATGTGGTAAGTACCTGATTCTCTGAGTCCTGTGAACTCTCCTAGCAATGAATGGAACAGGAGGGGCCTGCTGAGTACCCTGAATTCACGAGCTGCAGCAGAAGCAGAGGTGGCCTCATGGGGCTGAGTCCTCAGCGTGGAGCCTGACACTGTCTCCACAGCCTATGTGTGAACTGAATTTCAATGTGGAATAGCCAGCTGGTATCCCCTGGAGAACTGCTTGGTGTGTGGCAGAGGAACCTCCCCAGCTGGATACAGACGTGTTCTGTGTTGGTGTAGGGCACGGCAGGAAACTACAGTTGGCTTGTTCCCCTCTCAGGTTAGCAGGCAGAGAATAGGTTTTAGCAGGAAATCTCAGGGCCCAGCACGGTAGCGTAGTGGCTGGGGTCCTTGTCTTGCATGCACCAGGATCCCATATGGGTACCAGTTTGTGTCCCGGTGACCCCGCTTCCCATCCAGCTCCCTGCTTGTGGCCTGGGAAAGCAGTCAAAGACAACCCAAGGCCTTAGGACCCTGCACCTGCATGGGAGACCTGGAAAAAGCTCCTGGCTCCTCGCTTCGGATTGGCTCAACTCCAGCCATTGTGACCACTTGGGGAATGAATCAGCAGATGGAAGATTTTCCTCTCTGTCTCTCTTCCTCTCCCTATATTTGACCTTCCAATGAAAATAAATCTTAACCAAAAAAAAAAGGAAGCCTCAGTTTGGATCCTCGTTCGGCCTCTTGCTAGCCAGGTAACCCTGGGCAGGAAGAGTTGCTTCTGTGGAAAAGATTTTCGATGCTAACGGAAACTCCAATGTTGTCATGCTGGGTACGTCACCTAAGGGCATCAAGTCCTTTCCTGCTCCTACATGGAGATCATGCACAGCTGTCTTGGGATGCCTACAGTCACGTCTAGCTCATGATGGCTATATTACGAATGAATGAGTGAATGAACAAGGAGACAAGGAAAACGCCCTAACTTAACGCAGGACCCACAGGCGAGCCAGAACTTGTCTGTCAACAGCAGGAGGCTCCTGAGATGAGAAGCAGGCACTAGGAGAAGAGATCTCCTTACCAATAAATCTGAAGACAAGGATAGGTGTAGAAAATGACAGAAAGGCAGAGCTAGGCCTAGGGACAGGCCAAACAGCCCACATCTGTTAGGTACTACCAGGTGTAATTGATTCACGCACAAACATCCATCGTCCACTGTGTTCCAGGTATTTATGCCAAGTTCTCAGGAGGCAGAGACTAAGCAGCAGACTAGTCAGGGTTCAAATAAAGCAGGACACTGTGCTGTAGGGGGTCAGAGGGAAGGGGGTCCTGGAGAGGGGGAAAGGGAGACTTCCCAGAGGGTGAGGTGTCCAGATGAACAGGAGCAGCTGGTGATGGTGATGGCAACAGGTGCACGAGGGATCCAGGCAGAGGGCGGGGCCTTGTGAAGGTGACCCAGAGGCTTAACACACAGACCCTGGAGGTCACCCATCAGCCCAACTCCACCCTTCCCCTGTGGCCATCATTCTTCGAGGCTGATGTAGATGCTGTCCTTTGAGGAGCGTGTGCCTCTAGCAAATAAGCCCGATGTGGGTGAAGGCCCACATCATCCCTGACAGAGTTCCAAACACAGACAGGGCCTGCCTGGAAAGGAGGCGCCGGGAGCAGGAGCAGGATCTGGGAGGTGGGTCTGTGATCCCAGTCCTGGGCTGCAGCACAGTCATGGCAAACGCCCTGAGGACAGGTCCTCGGCCAGCAGCAGACCCTCCAGGAGGCCACCAGAGGCCTGGGCTGCACGAGGCGGTGGGGGGGGGAGGGAGGAGGAGGAAGAAGGGAACAAGTCTGGCAATCCCACAGGAAGCCAGGGCCTCCCTCCCAACATGGGGTAGCACAGGGAGAGCCTTCCACGGGGGTGCCGGGTGGGGGTTACCATCTATCGCCCACAGAACCCACCGGGACCTGAGCTCCGGACTATGCCTGGCACCTGACAGACGTTCATCCAAGGAGTTCTTTGATCTTCACTGCCAGGTATTTGTCCAGCTCTGCAATTGTGTCATCAGCCATTTGGCCAATCTGCAAGAACAAAATACAAGATAGCATGGTCACGGAGCTGTGAAAGGCTAGAGGGTCAATGTGCCAGAGATATAAAATGGGACCTGAAAACAGTAATGGGGCAAAGGTCTGAGAGCCAGATGGGTACTGTGCTAAGAACTTAGGAGCAGGTGCAGGGTCCCAAGGTCTTGAGCCATCTTTCACTGCTTTCCCAGACCTCAAGCAGGCAGCTAGAAGGGAAGTGAGGCAGCCAGGACACAAACTGGAAGCCATATGGGATCCCAGCACATGCAAGGCAAGGACTTTAGCCACTAGGCTACCACACCAGGCCCCTAAGAACTTTTTTTTTTTAAATATTTTGACAATCTTTACATAGTTAATTAGGGTAAAAAGGTTCAAGGGCTATAAGAAAGTGGGTAAGACTATTATTTTTCCAATATTGTTTCCTTCATGTTTAAAGGGGGGTATTAAGGGTGAAGGCCCACCCAATTTCCCACCCTCCCCAGGTCCCGCATGTAGGGTATGTTCTAAGGTTCTTGCTCAAGTGGTTTTGATATTTCAACAGTTATGAATCGCTGCCAATCTTGCCCCTCCAAGCACTATGAGGTCTGTGAAGAATCCACTGATTGACATAGTCCATCATAGAGTCTCTGTTTGCCCCGTATTTCGCTGCCAACATGTAGCTGAGATGGTTCATTGACCTGTTCTGTCTTTTCTCTTTTCTTGGTTAGGGTTCTGAGTCCAACATTTTGATTGGGGAGATCTCCAAAGAAACTTTGTCTGAGGTGTGCTCAAACCAGATTCTTGTATGTGCTGGCAAGTACAGGACCCGGCTCAGTCCATGGCCCTGATCAGCTGGTGGTTGCGATCGCTGGGTTGGTTCTGTTTTCACTCCCGACTTCCACTGGAACAAATGGGTGTTGCAGTCCAGCCTGGTTCTGCCCAGCACATACTCGGCCCTCGCATAAACAAGTGGGAGCTGCAGCCTAGTTGGAGCGACCCATGCTAACTCCCACCAGGCCCGCCCCCTACCCTGGTTTGCCAGTATGTGTAGCAGTAATCCAGTCTGTCCCACACCCCATTCCACCCCAGCCCCTGTCCTAGTTTTCGTGCCCCTCTGTGGCATTGGTAACCCAAGAGGGAGGAGCCCACTATTTTCCTCCCAGGCCTCTCCCACACCCAGATATGCACTCTCTAGGTACTTCTGTGGATTGACTTGACAGAACTAAGAACTTTTTTTTTTCAAAAAGATTTATTTTTATGTCAAAGGCAGATTTTACAGAGAGAATGAGAGAGAGAGAGATCTTTAATTTGCTGCTTCATTTCCCAAATTGCGTCAAAGGCCAGAGCTGAACTGATCTGAAGCTGGGAGTCAGGAGCTGTTTCTGGGTTTCCCACATGGGTGCAGCAGCACGGAGACTTGCGCCACCCTCCGTTGCTTTTCCAGGCCATAAGCAGGGAGCTGGATGGGAAGTGGAGCAGCTGGGACATCCCCGTTCAGGATGCTGGTGATAGCAGGCAATGGATTAGCCTGATTTGTCACCAGGCTGGCCCCAGAACTAAGAACTCTATATATATTTCTGACTCCCACGAAATATAGAGTGTGATCCCCATTTAATAGACAAGCAAACTAAGATCACTCACTTAGGACACACAGCTAGAAATTAACACCGACATAATTATAGCCATGGTAGTCTGATGCTGCAGCTCAAATGCTTGATTATTTTTCTATTACTCATAGAAGCCAGCCTTATCTGTCCCTTAATGAGACTCTAGAATTTCCTTCACCTCGGGCAGATGCTGAAGCTAAGGAGAATATGAAGATCCCAATAAAGCCAAAACAAAGTGTCTTGAAGCAAGATGAAATACATCTGGTTAACAAACATGGAAAATTGAACAGACACTGAAGAAAATGCTAATCAAAACAAGATACAATGCAGCTATCAGAGCAAAATTTGATGTTGTGGTTTTTAATTACTATATGCAATGCCAGCAAGCTACAGCGAGATGGAAAAACTTATATATCATTGACAAGAATTTAAGTTGATGCAAATGTTCATACCATCTCCCCCTCCCCCTCCTCCCAAGCCTCTCAACCAACAAATTATACTGTGAGCAGGAGCTGAAGATTCTGTTTTAACTTCTATAGGCAAAGCTAAAGTCTTGGATCCTTACGGCTGGGGAACTGGTGGAAGGCATATGGTCATTAAGAATGGCTAAGACTGTCAACCTCACATGGAGAGGCTGGGAATATGGGTCCCAGCACAGTATATATTTCTGAGATATTTGAATGTATTTGAATGTTTTTATAATAGGCATGGATTATTTTTGTTATCAGGAAAACAATTTTTCAACAATGTTTCAAGATACTTATAATAGCCTGGAACCATGGTCACACTGTATTTCAATTAAAGAAAAAGCGGGGTACAAAATACCAAGTATGTGTATGTCATAGAAATGATCTCAAAGATACATTTAAAAATTGCATGTTTTTAACCTTAAAAGTGGGAAGATGGTTAATGCATTATTCATGTATGCATCTGTCATACCCTGCCCAAGATACAGCTCACAGCAATTTCTCCGGCAATGTCTATTACGTGAGTAATTACTGACACTACCTGGGTTAGGGTTAAATTCTCAGTGCGTGACAATGCGCGAGCCATCTCCCCTCGCTGTACCCTCTTCTATCAAAAAGGGCAACTGTGAGGGGCACACAAAGTTACGAATATACATTCAGGCACATTTGAACCTGGTCATTTGCAACACAAATGCTGGCAAAACACTGGCCTTATTACTATGAATTTTAAGCCTATTACACAACTTCTTTTCCCACTGGGCACTGGTTCAAATCCTGGGTGCCACATTCTGATCTAACTTCCTGCTAATGTGACAGGGAAAGCATGGAAGATGGCTCACAAGTGCTCAGGCCCCAGCACCCATGTGGGAGACCCGGAAGTTCCTGGTTGCTGAATCTGGTGTGGTCCAGCGCTGCTGCAACCATCTGGGGAGTGAACAAGCAGATGGAAGATCTCCCTCTTTGTAACTCTTATTTGCAAGTAAGCAAAACCTTTTTAAAAGTGGTGGTGATTGAGGACAACACCTCCAGCAGCAGCCCCCACTGCCTGAGCACCTACTATGTGCCAGACACCAGACTAACAGGTACACATGCTATCTCCTTTAAATGGTATTATGAATATCATTTCACTTGACAGTCGTATAACTGTCCTGGTATTTCATTCAAATCCAACCCTTCACATGGCTCTATAAACCAGGGGCAACGGATATTGTCCTACTTCTGCACAGTTGGAAGGAACAGAGTGGCAACTGGTACAGCTAAGACCACAGAGAAAGTCAAGGTGGCTGTGCCAAGAGCATTGGAGCTGGACCCGGAGGCTGCTGCTGGGCCTAGCCACTGGCCTGCTTCCTCCTCCTCTCAAACAGGCTCCACCAGGATCATCAAATGTGTCCATCCCACTACCATGCTTGAAGTCCAAAGGCTGAGAAGTGGATGGACAAGCAGGGTGAGGAGCAGGTGCCCAGCAGCCTTGGAAATGTGCCATGTCCTGACAGGCACTGCTGCTCCAACTCCACAGAGGAGGGAAGGGAGGCCACCTGCTGCCCCTTCACGGCGGAGGAGTGGGAGAGCTGATGTGAATCCTGGCCTGACGCCCCAGCAGAAACTGTGACACAAGCACTGGTAAAACGCTGGCCTTGTTACCACGAATTTTAAGCTGATTACTCAACTTCTTTTCAAATTGTTCAATGAAAATTCTTAGTATTTATCCTATGACAGGAAAGGCACAAATTACCTTGAGGGTGGTCTGCCTCAAGTTCATCTCCTCCATCTTTAACGAATGTCTTAATATGGCAGTGATTCGGGGCAGTGCTGTGGCACAGCGGGCTGCCTCCTAACGGGTTCACCACCATCGCTGTCAGCAGCATCCCGTTCACTCCTTACAAGTTCAGGAACATGAAGGGCTGGGTCAGGCCTGCATACTCTTCCTTCCAGAGGCCCAGCTCAGAGCACCCACTGCCTCGCCAGCCCAGCTGCCCAGCCAACGTCCCTCCGTAAACCCCACTAGCACCCAGCCCCACTCCTTCAGAGCTGCTCTGTTTTCCAAAGAAAGGCAGTAGTGAAAGGAACTTGGCCAGCGTTCCTGGAAGTTTCTGCCAAGGGCTTTCATGTGCAGCATGCCTGCCTACGGCACACTGCAGCAAAGGTGGGACAGCAGGCTGGCAGATGTCAGAGCTGCAAGTGGGAGGACCCTGGCCTGCTGCAGCAGTTACCCTGGCCAGGGATGGGGAGGCGGGGTAGACCTGCAACCAAATCTTTTTTTTTTCTTAAGATTAATGGGATGCCCATGCTTTATAATGCCTGTTGAGCCATGGCTCCAGCCCTGAATCATTTCATTTTTATAGAGCCAAGGGTGGTAGCCTAGTGGCTAAAGTCCTCATCTTGAAAGCGCTGAGATCCCATATGGTCACCAGTTCATGTCCCGGCAGCCCCGCTTCCCATCCAGTTCTCTGCTTGTGGCCTGGGAAAGCAGTAGAGGACGGCCCAATGCCTTGGGACCCTGCATCCATGCAGGAGACCCAGAAGAAGCTCTGGGCTCCTGGCTTCAGATTGGTGCAGCTCCGGCCATTGTGGCCACTTGGAGAGTGAATCAACTGACAGAGATATTCCTTTGTCTCTCCTCTTCTCTGTATATCTCACTTTCCAATAAATAAAATAATAATAAAAATAAATCTTAAAAAAGGGAAGTGAGAAGACAAAACATTATCAAATGTTAAAAGTAGTTGGGTTTATGGAGTGCGTTTTTCTCCATTATTTAAAAATAGCCTCTCATAAACTGTATTTTCTAACAAGTACACATTATGCTGATAATCAGAAACAAAAGCAAACAAAAATCTTAAAAATGATTTCATGACTAACAATCAGCTTCAGTGCAGTTTATATGAAACAAAAACAAAAAACACACATTAAAAGCTCCAGTTCTGTGCCTTCCGACGGGGAAAAACTAAAACAACATGTACTCACGTCTATCTCCTGCTTATTTTCTTACCCAAATTCTGAGGCAATGACAGTCCATGAATTCACACCGCAATGGTATGTTTCAGATGGTTTACACTGTGGGTAGTGTGGTGGTACCCATATGAGCATCCCATATGAGAGACGGTTTGCATCCTGGCTGCTCCCCTTCTGACCCAGCTCCCTGCTAACACGCCTGGGAAAGCAGTGGAGGGCGCCTCGGCGAGTTGGGCACCTGCCATCCAGGGGGAAGAGGTGGACAGAGTTTCAGGTTTCTGGCTTTGACCTGGCCCAATCCTGACCATCTAGGCCATATTGGGAGTGGATGGAAGATCTCTCTAAAGCTCTGCCTTTCAAATAAATAAATACACTTTTTTTAAAGGGTGTTTATGGGCCTGGTGCGATGGCTCAATGGTTTAATCCTCACTTTGCAAGTGTCAGGACCCAACATGGGTGACAGTTCTTGTCCTGGCTGCTGCATTTCCTTTCCATCTCCCCGATCATGGTCTGGGAGGGTGGTGGAGGATGGCTCCAACTCTTGGTGTGGGAGACCTGAAGGGGGCTTCTGGCTCCTGCCTTTAGATTGGCTGTGCTCCCGCCACTGTGGCTGTTTCAGGAGTGAGCCAGCAGATGGGGGATCTTTGTCTCTCCTTTTCTCTGTTGATTTAATCTGTTTTTCCAATCACAACAAATGCAAAAAAATCCTATCCCAAGGTTGCTAAAGTCTAAAATGTAATAGGTATCTTTTAAAGGAGTGTCTACACTGGAAAGATATCTGTGTTATACTGTATAACACAAATAGTGTGATCTCCTTTTTTATGTAATAGTACATGTATGTTTAGAGGGGTAACTTGACAAATCACACAGTGTTAACTAACACGGGTCAGTCTTGCAGAGGTGGGGAACATCCAGCCCACATGTTGTATGAGGCCTGCAGAATCATTTGGGTGGCCTTGATAAAGGTAACTGCAGGCAGACTCGAAGTCCAATTAATGCAGGTGAATTTTCAAGTGGATAATTTGGTATGTGCTGTGCGTTCTATAAATATCCAAATGACCCTAGGCAGAACAAAGGTTTCTCACCCCATGAATGATGAGATTTCAATAATTTTCTTCATCTTTTTCAGTAAATGTATACTAGTTTAGTACTGGAAAAACAAATAAAATTATTCTCACTCTGAAAAATAATAATCAACATCAAGAAGACACCTAGAAGAAGAAAATGAAGTAGATGAAAAGGATGATGAAGAGGATGAAGGATGATGAAGAGGATGAAGGAGATGATGACAAAGAAAAAGAAAGGAGATGAGGGAAAGAGAGAGGGAGAGGGAGAGTTGGGGGAGAGGTGCAAGGAGGGAAAGCAGTTGATGGTCGTAGTCATCCATGCTGCAGAGCCAGCGCTGATGAGTGAAGGCCTTGTTCCAGCCAATCTCTGACAAGCAGATTCCAGCAAGGGTACCATTCAGCTGATCTTTCTTCCTTCTTCAAGGAGTAGTGTGCTCTGGTTTCTAAGGCAGATGTCCCAATATGCTTAGTGACAGGGCCTGGCAGGACCCTGAGGCCCAACTGTGCAACAACCAGAAGGCAAGGGCAAGGCCAGGCCTTGACCATGGATAGAATCTTGCAAGAGGAGTGAGCAGCTGGACCGCCACAAGGCTCAGGAAGGCCTAGCTGCATCCATGAACCTCCTTTCTTAACTGATACAGAGTGAGAGAGGAGCTGTGCAGGGTGCTTTTCAATACCTACAGCGAGGCAGAAACTACAAATCCCTTCTGATCAAACAGACTCCAAGGAGTCAAATCATCTCTCCAGCAGATGCAGGTGCAGGACAAGCTTCTGTGACTTGGCTGCCATCACAGGAGCACAGTATAAGGTCCAGTTGTTCTCTCCCATCATGTCTGTTTTTACAAAATGACTTAGAGAACTTTTTTTCAAAATATACACATTCCGGCAGACTCACTGAATCAGAAAATGCACGTGCAGGACCCAGGAATCCAGCTAAACTTCTCTCTTGGCAACTGCTGAAACTTCTCTGCAACTGCATTTCACCTGCTCGGCAGCCAGTCCATCATGCTCTCCTCCAGGGTTCCCCACAGTGATGTTTCTGGCCTCAGCTTCTTCCCTCTTCACTTCCCGTCCTGCCCACACTCCTGTTGAATCTTCCCAAACAAGGCTTCTCTTGGGCAACGGAAGACTCGTGTGTCTGTGTGTGTAGCTTCTTCTATTACACCAAACATTATTATTCCTATCTCTTAAATCTCACAAATTCATCTTCCCATTTCACATCCCAGTCATGGCTCAGCTTCAGGCTGTTTTCCGGTTGTGTTGTGTTCAGATTTCTGTAGCAGCTTCTTTTGACTTCTTGCCTTCAGTGTTGCTTCCCGCAGTCTGTTTCTACCTAGCTGCCATGGTCATCTTTCACAAAGACAAATGTAACCTATTTGCTGCTTGAAAAATAAGTTTTTCTGAGAGAATATATAAGAATTACCTTAACTTGGTTTCCTTATTTCACTCTCTTTCTTTCTTTCTCTCTTTCTTTCTTTCTTTCTGACAGAATCTTCTCTTTACTTATTTAGGGGGAGGGGGAAGAAAAGAGTGCTTTCATCTGCTGGTTTACTCCCCAAATGCCAAAGTAGTGGGAGTGGACTAAGCCAAAGCCAGGAGCTAGGAACCCGATGTAGGCTCCCGCCTGTGGCCAGTGGGACCCTACTTCCCGAGCCATCGCCCACTTCCTGCCAGGGTGCAGCTTAGCCTGAAGCTGGAATCAGGAGTGGATCCAGGATTCCAACCCAAGCAATCTGACAGAAGACATACAGGTGTCTCAAGCAACAGCTTAACCTCTAGGCCATACACCCTCCTTGAGCAAATACTTCAGACTTCACATTTGTGAACCACACTCCAGATTCACTGATTCAGTCTTAGTGCTGGGGCTCCAGATAACTAAATATAAGCTCCCAGGATGATTATGGCTATCAAGGTAGATTATTGTTCAACAAACACTTATTGCCTCCTTCAGACCTGTATTCCTTGAATACCTATAGGTCCTTGTACCAATGACACTGGACTTGATCTTGCTCTGGCTAATGGGATGCAACAGAAGCAGGTGCTTACAATGTGCTGCAGGGGTTGGACTTATGCTCTTGGTGTCTGCTCCCACTATGGAAAGATGCCCTAGGAAACCTGCTGACTCTGGAAGATGGAGAAACATAACGCAGACTTAAACCAACGCAGATCTGGAGCCAATCACCCACAGCAACTGAAACAGTGACACCCCAGCTGCCTGGGGGCCCACAGAAACAAAAACAAGAAATAAGGCTCCGATATTGTAAATCACTGAATTCTAGGGTAGATGGTTATGTTTGATTGTGGCCACAGATGCACAGCTAACATGGGAACCATTAGACATGTTCAAGGATCTCCCATGATCTGGTCACTCTAACTTCTCTATCCATTCCCTGGTCTCATGCCAGTTTAAGCTGAAGCGATCCACTCAAACAAGACTCTTGTACATCACAGCACTTTTCATCATGTTATTCTACCAACCCCCTTGTCTCAGTACTTTATACCACTAGCTCATTTGAGATTGTTCCAGTGTGGCCAACATTGCTTTAGTGCAACCAGAACTAAGAAAAGCCCTACAGCACAGGCTCCAAAGTTGTCTGCCGATTCTATAGCATGTTAGCACTGTGGTTTTGGGCAAGCTACTTCATTGCTACAAAATCCAGTCTCCCCACTGCCCTCTTGAGCTCTGTGGTGCTGAGGATATGCTACCACTGGAGTGTGCGCCACACAGCCTGGCACACAGCGAAAGAGCGACAGCACTGTATCCTCCTCTAGGTCCCGTCCCCTCATCCAGGACTCAGCCCTGGGCTAGGGCCAGAAGAAAGACTCGGTCCACCTTGACCACGTGAACGAAAGCATCAGAGGCCTCCCACCTCAGACATGAGTACATGATTCTCCAGGCCCGACACATAAACAACATGGCACCTGCTGGCACCAATACCTGCTTCTCAACGAGCCTGATGGTGTCCTCTGAGACCTTGTCCTTGCATTTCTTCACCTTGTTCATAGCGTTGGTGCGAACCCTCCTCAAAGAGTCTTTGGCCTTATTGGTGTTCTGTTTGGCCAGTTTCACCAGCATTTCTCTGTGCTCCCTGGTTACCCTGATAAAAGACATAAAAAAAAATTAATAAAAACATTCTGTATATTAACAGCTTAGCCAGGAAATGTAACCTTACTCTGTCTACCAGCTCAGCAGTGTGTAACCTGACTCTCTGTTGGTTGACTTTCACATTCCTGACACAAGTGCTCAAGGTCAAGTACAATTCCTGGGGGGTAAGCTGTGCACAGCCAGCTCACTGCTAGAAGTACTGCTGGAAGGCATTAAGTCAAGGAGCCCAGGCAGACCTGGGATCAAATCCTGGCCATGACGCCAAAGAGACAGGACCGACTGGCCCTCCTCAGAGCTCCCATCCGTACCTGTCCTACAGAGCAGGTGTGAAGACTAAACATGATGATGCATGTAAACTGCTTAGCACTGACCCCCGGCACATTGCTCAAGGAAAAGAAATCAATTATTAGCAGTAACTCCACCCTCTTGTCTCCCACCAGGACAGTAAGTGATGGTGTTACAAAAACAGTGTCACTTCTAAATCACCTACAACAAGTGGTAACTTATGTAATTCTTAACAATTGTGATCATAGATTACTTGTTAATCACTTCAAAAGAGATACAGACATGAGTCCTAACACAGCATATGAAAACCAATCTGTTCATTAACTTCCATTAGTACCCATCACTTCAAAGTGCTAAGTACATGGTAGTTCTGTATTTATTAATAACATCATCTTAACTACACTAAGCATTTAGGGGTCTACAATAAGCCACCACGAGAAGCATTTTCTACATTGATCATTATAACACCTACAGAGGCAATTACTACCTGTTTGTTTTTGTTTAAATAGGATTTATAGAGAGGAGAGACAGAGAGAAAGATTTTTCATCTACCAGTTCCCTCTCCAAGTGGCCATAACAGCCAGAGCTAAGCTGATCCAAAGCCAGGAGTCTGGATCTTCTTCCAGGTCTCCCATGCAGGTACAGGGTGCCAAGGTTTTGGGCCATCTTCTAATGCTTTCCCAGGTCAGATGGATGGGAAGTGGAGCAGCTGGGACACGAACCGGCATCCACATGGGATCCCTGCACTTGAAGGGGGAGGATTATTGCTTCTCGGCCTTCTGGCTAAGATCAAGTGAAGGGGCAGGATTAGCCGATCGAGCCGTTTTACTGGGCCCTATCATTCATGTTTTACATTCACATACCACAACCTGGCAAAGCAGCTAGCATGCTTGCCCTTCTTTCCTTTCTCTCATTAAAATTCAGTGCCAAGTTTTAAGCACAGAGGGTACTCAGATTGACAGGACAGAATTTTCAGCCTACTCCTAAGGAGCTTAGCTAGAATGAGAGAAAAGAGACATTTTCAGGGCCACATGAGCAGCTAACTGAACAGGAACTCATGTGAGTTAGAGAAAGGGCAGGAGAGGAGGACTTGTTGGAAGGCTTATCTAAATGTGGCTATTGTGAGGTCGGCTGGCTCGTGTTCAGGCACACAGTAGGAGTGCATTTCCCCTGTCCTCCTTTGGGTGCACCAGTACACCTGCTTCCCCTGACCTCAGGGCCCAGAATGACATGCAGCATGACCAGGAAATAAGCCTTGCAGCCAACAGCCCTGGAGACTCAGACTGCTGGTTACTACAGCATAACCCATCCTAGCCGAATACAACATTCTCATATCTGAATAATGAATCCAAGCTGCCGGCACTGGCATGGCAAGGGGGAATTTTCAGAAGAGGGAAGCTCATGCAATAAGGCTTAAAGCTATAAAGATATTGTATTTTAACTTGAGGAATGATCTAGAATAAGGTAACAAAGAATGGGATGAGGGGCCTCTATGATGGCACAGCGAGTGAAGCTGCTGCCTGCAATGCCAACATTGCAAGTGCCAGCACAGGTCAGTGCTTCTTCACTTCTGCCCCAGCTCTCTGCTACTGGCCTGGGAAGCAGCACCAGCTGGCCCCTGCCCCGCCCTGGGGGACCTCGACTGACTTCCAGCGGGCACAGCGTGGCTGGTTTAGCCATTTGGGAAGTGAACCAGTGGGTGGAAGCTCTCTCATTCTGTCACTTTTTCTTTCTCTAGTAACTCTGCTTTTCAAATAAAATAATATTATTAACAATACGGAGAAATAAAGAACCAATAAAGAAAAAAAAAGTAATGAGGAGAATAAGACTGGGTGGCGATGTCACGGAAGGCCCTTGGGGGTCACTTACCCCATCTTACAGTGGAAGAAAATGAGGCCCAGAGAAGTCTGGGATGTCACACAAGGCCAAACTCAGGCTGGCCTCTCTTAAAACCCAAAGGTCTGAGCATGACAATGTTGCTCTGCCCCCTGGGTCCTGTAATGAACCTTCCTGCCACACGCTTCCTGTCCCTCCCACCAGCACGCCTTCTGCTGAGGAAGGACAATCCCCACCTCTGGGGACAGGGTTAGTGGGAAGCAGTTGCTCCAGATCTAGTGGCACTGTGTGGTATTTCTCACAAGAAACAATGTAGAGACTTTTGAGAAAGGCCAAGCTCTGAGGACAACAAGGACAGCTGTGTTACAAACAAACTCTTCTGGCGCCGTCTACTTAAAGGTGATCAACAAGTGAAAAGCCATCCTGAGGAGGACCCCAAGGAAGCTCCTCCAGCAGCGGAAGTGGAACGTGCCGCCTCTCTGTCCTCAAAGCAACTCTCAGCTGGAGAGTGGAGCACTCCCATTTAGCAGGAGGAGACTGAGGCTCCCAAGGGGCGACGCGACGTGTCTGTGCGCAGGGGCTTCCAGCCTACATCTCCCCGGCCCCTGTGCTGTTTCGACCCCGTGTGCTGCCTACCCCGTGTAATCTATTTCAAATAAACCATGCCCCACTGCCATTACTTCTGCTTCCAGGCCGAAAAAACCTTTCAAAGTCAGTAATATGAATCTTGGGACTGGAAAGGACAAAACCACCATGTCAGGAGTTTAGGGATTTGGATCAGATCTTGTTACTTTTATGGTTTTTAATTCACTGAACAAAAATCATGCTGACATGTTTAGGTCTCTTTTTTGTTCTGCCAAAGCATATGTCAGTATAAGGAAGGAACAGGGAAATTAAAACTTGATCCACTGATTCAAAAAAACTTAATCCTGCTGAAATACTATGAGGGGCAGAAACTAAATAAATCTAAATCTGTAAGAAATTTCTTAAACTTTTCTAGAAAGACCTTGCTCAAGTATTTCAATCTTATATTACACATATAATTTGAAATAGGTATCCTGCTGTTCAGAAAATCCTTAATAACAGAAAACATTTTATCTAACCAACTTCTCTTTTTATTACATTGTTATGTTTTAAATGGAAAAAAAACAACCACATGTTTTAAAAAATATAAACTGAGACTTAATCTTAACAAAATACTACATAAAGAATTCTAGTACATATATATTAATCTGGCCTTAATAAAATGTGTTATTTTGTATCTTAATGCCAATGTAACATTACCATACTATTAATAACAGTTTCCACATGGAATAGTGTCCAATTATAACAGGCCTTGCCCAACACACTTGCATGTCAGAAGTACAGGTGTACTCACCAGAAGGAAATGGAGGGAAATGCGGGGAGGGCAGTGAGGACAGGAGACGGAGATGACAGGGTGCTGGACACAGGGAGAGAGGAGCCTGGGGAGGGCATGAAGCTGCTGGCTCGGGGTGCTGAGGGGAGCAGGCCCAGCAGCACTAGCTCTGACACCAGACAAACAGCTTTCACTCCCTGGTCGACCACTCAGAGGTTGGGCAAGTGCCCTCATTTCTGAGCCTCAGATTCCTCTAGGATGAAGACCCAAGTCACCTTACGGCTGATGGGGCGAAGCAGACCAACAGACACAAAGCACCCACCAAGAACGCAGCAGGGAGCAGTCCTGAATAAATGATAGTGCTTATGAATGTTTTAATCAAACACATTTAATTACTTCCTCATGAAACAACCAGGGCACATCTGTTTTAGAAAAGAAACACATTGTGGGAATGCTTTAATTCTTCTCCAGACCAGGGATTAATACATCTGATCATCGTCTCCACCTCCTATTTGTGGCGCTCTGAGAGAACATGCTCCAGGCTGTTGCGCTCGGCCGCCGGAGCTGGTTCTGAGCACCCCCTCCAACCTGGGGTGCCGTCATCAAGCAAGTGCTGGCCAAGTCTTGTGCTCCAGATCCAGGGTCGGCCACGAGCCAGAGGTGCCCCAGAGAGCAGGCGGGCCCAGCCAAGGTGTCCCGGAGGCTCAGTGTAAGGTGGAGGCAAGCTGGTCAGCCCGAGAGCCAGGGCCGTGGAGACACATCTGACAGCGGATAAGCGGGGGAGGGGCGTGCTCAAAGGCCAGCTCTTGTGCCTGGAAACCCGGGACAGGTCCTGGAGACACAGCAACTTGTAGGAGAGACGGACAGTGGGTTTGAGAACCCGAGGCAACAAATGGTACATGGGGTCAACTTTGTTGTGTAGGCCTGGAGAGTTCAAATTTCTCATGAGCCACAAAACCCTGTCTTCAGAGAAAACCAAGGGCAGAAGCCCATTTTATAAAACAGATAAAAAGAGATTTCTCCAGGGGGTGGGCACTGGGGCAGAGGGTGCTTGGGTCCAAGGATACACAGCTCAGCCCCTTCCCGGGTGTGTCAGTTACGGAGACCCACCAAACTTTGGTTACTTCATGTACATACAGGAATGAAGAACAAACAGCTCCTTCATTCCTGAGTTACCATGAGATTCAGACAAGAGACAACTTCAGAAAATGTGTGGAAATGGAATGAAAGTATAAGCTTATTTTAGTGCAAAAATTTTTTTGAAACACACACATATGAGGAATCTTCAAAAGTTCTTGAAAGTGAATATCATTTAAAAACCCATACATGGGTTGCAAAAAAACTGTACCAACAGAAACATTTTTTAAAATCACTTATTTGAAGGACAAAGTTATAGAGAGAGAAGGAGAAAAAGAGAAATCTTTCATCTGCTGGTCTACTCCCCAAATAGTAACAATGGCTGGAGCTGGGCTGATCTGGAGCCAGGAACCTGGAGCTGCTTCTGGGTCTCCCAC